CAGGTAAAATAAAATCACTTTTAGATGTGCAAAGCTTCAAAAATTCTGCTTCCCGTGACCTTTCTGAAGAGGCTACTGGAGGATATGCTCCTGTAGAACAAAGAAGTACATCAAGAAAGCAAAGACAAAAGATGCCCAAAATAGTAGATTTGAAAATGAAGTAAATTTCCAGATGATAAAGGGAGGTCCCAGGACAATAGCTAGGACAAAGCTAGGACAATAGCTAGGACAAAGGTGCTCCAGGGGAAAAATCGAGGCTGATAGGATCTGACAGGGTTGACTCTGTGAAAATGACATTGAGAGGTATTTAACAAAGCTATTTATTGGATGGTGTGGGAAGACTTAAACCATAGATTCAATGAAAGCCAAGCAAATGGGAGAATAATGAGGCAATTGTTAACTCCGGGAAAAACAAAAAAATTGGGCAACAGAGGGAAGGAAATCATAGCGCACGACTTGGCTGAAGAACACACAATATTCGTGGTCAAAATAATAAAAACATTGAATGTGAATTTAGCAAAACAGGATTTAACTGTATCGGTAGAATGGGGAGGAAAGAGGTATATAAGAAGGTACAATCATTCCAACATAAGTCAATAGATGATGTCTAAAATTGATTCTAGAATACATATGATTATTATTTTTTGAATGCGGGGATAAATACTAGAAGTAATAGCTAAAGAATTTGAAAGTGGTCCTTCTATGAAGGAAGTGTTTAGGACTGAATAACCAGTTCTAGACAGGAAGTAAGGGGCATGGGTGTGTGGGGGCCAGACAGGGGATTACTATTTATTTTTTTGCTATTTTTAATTATAAGCTTTCTAACATGACTTGATTTTTAAAAACTCGATTTTATTTTTTATAAAAATCTTTACAATCGTAAGTTTTAAAATTCAATTTTATGTTTATATTTTTTTGCTTTACACTGTTTCTTGTGTTCTAGATCTTTCTCTTACTTGAATTTAATTTCTGTCTTGCTGGAGAACAATTTCTAGTAATACTTTCAAATGTAGCCTATGGTTGAAAAGGCTATTTAACCTTTTTTTCTTCCAAGATTTATTGAAGTATAATTTGCAAATAGTAAAATTTACCCTTTGCAGGCATACATTTCTATGAGTTTCAAGAAGCTTGCATAATCATGTAATTGTCGCTTCAAATAGTACCCTTGTCCCTCTCTGGCAACCACTGATCTGGTTTCTGTTCCTATCATTTTGCCTTTTCCAGATGTCATATGAATGGAATCAAACACTATACAGCCTTTCAAGCTTCTTAGCATAATGCTTTTGAGCGTCATCTGTGGTATTGCATTTATAGGGATCTTTGAAATTCAAAGGAATAGTCATCATCAGTCATCAACGCGGTTCATAAAATATTTCTGGCTGACTGTTTTCTGGTCATATGATTAGATTGTACTTTTTGGCTCCCTTGTGGTTGGGTAGGGTCATGTGATTGGTTTTGGCCAATGAGTTGTAAGTACATTTCACTTCTGGGCCAGACCATTTAAATGGCAATGCAAGACGCTGTTGAACTCTGTCTTCCGCCTACCCCAGTGATGGGCGACATTGGCAATGATGACTGCTCCATCAGCCTGAGTCCTGGAGTGACTAAAACCAGCAGAGCTCATGGCCAACCTGTGATGGACAGGTAGCCAGTAGATAGGTAGCTTGAACTAGAAGCACGGCTTTGTGGGTTTAAGCCATTGAGATTTGGGTGTGGTTTGTTATCACAGCACAGCCTATGCTGATGCACATAGAAGGCTTGTAATTTTAGTACTGGGAAATTTTCTTTTATTGCTGCATTCATTATTTTCTCTCTCTCTCTCTCTCTCTCTTTTTCTCGCTTTCTTCTTCCTTTCTGGAACTATTAAGCAGGTGTTGGAACTTTGGGATATATCCTTCTCCAGGTCATTTAACTTCCTTTTGTCCTTTTGGCAGTTTTCTGGGAGAAATTCTCAGATTTGAGCTTACTTTAGCTCTCTTTTAGCTTACCACCGCGTTTTCCAGCTGTATTAATTTTGCTATTCAACTCAGCCTTTTTTTCTATTAATAGTTTTGTATTATATTTATTTTCCAAGACCTTGGCTTGCTTCTTTTGGGTAATGGGTTGCTGCTTAATGCATGCAGATCTTCTGTTTTTTTTTCCAGGGCTACTAGTTACTTTAAAAGTCTATTTGTTCTGTTTTTGCTCTTTACTTGTTAGTTCTCAGGTGGCTTTCTTCCAGAGCACTGGCTTTCCTTAACTGTCTGCTCACTTTTGCTGGTGTGTTAAACTCTTTGGGAATTCCTACTTGCCCAATTGCCGATTTGATTACAATGCTTTTGATTTTTGGAAGGGAGATGACTGTGTTCTTGTGATTCGCTGGGTATGGGAGCTCTTTGTCCTTCATGGGAGTTGTCAGCTCCCTGGGACACTGCCCCACATGTCCCTCTGCGCACTAACTGGTAGGAAGGGAGGTGGGGGCCAACAGTCTAGATCCTCTGCAAGTATTTCTACATTTCCCAGGAAACTGCCTCTGAGACCTCCTTCGAGTCATTGTGAGCTTGGAGCACACTCCAAATCTCACTCTTGGTGGTCTTCTGCTTCCTTCATTTTTAACTGTGATTTTCCTTAAGTCTCGTTTCTCCTAATACAATCTTTAAGAACTTATAGTGAGGATTAAACAAAGCATGTTTGTGCACAGAACATGGCCCACGGATTGCCAGTTTTTACAATCAGCCTGAAGGGGTTATCTCCTTCCAGGAAATTAATGTTTTTTTTTTTTTTTTTAATTAAAAGAAAGTACACATCCTCCCTCATAGATGTCATTTGTGTTAAGAAAGCAAACAGAAATAAAGAGTACACTCCAAAAAAAAATAATTGTTTCTTTTGGAAATTAGAAATATAGACAAGCATAAAGAAGATAAACATAACCCCACCTAGAGATAACCAGACAACAGTTTTTTAACATGATGGTGCACTTCCTGACATACATACATAAATCTATGAATTTAGTTTTTGAAATTGATATCAAACTACTGATAACTTTTTTAAAGTTGTTTTTCCACCCAACGATATATCACGGACTTCTTTCCATGTCCGTAAATATACATTCACATCATTTAATATGTAGTATTCCATGATATGTGGGGCTATGATGTGTCCAGTGAATTCCCTCTTGTGAGACATTACATTGTTTTTGTTCACACTTTATAAATGGTGCTACAATCATTATTCTTGTACACTGTCCTTAGGACAAAATTCTAGAAGTAGAATTGCTGTGGCAAACGTGGCTGGACATTTGAATCTACCCAGAAGAAAGCTGTTCAGATAAAAGAATGCAACTCACAAGGGTGGACTGGATGTTCAGATATTTGCAGCCAGAGTTCAGAGTGGTGGTTTGGGCAAGGGAGGGGATGGATCTCAAACTCACACCAGAAGCTGCCAGTCCCTTGTAACCTATCCCTATTTGGAGACATCTCGGAAAGGAGTTAGTCCAGTCAATTTGGTGAGGTCTTCCTCCCTTCCATTCCCAACACCCTCCCCTTCAGGAGGAAGAGAGGGCACGGCCATCAGTCTCCACCCAAATCTGGAAGTGAAACTGGCTTCCGAGCAGAGCTCGTGCAGCCCTGCTCATACTAGGATGGGTGCTCTGGGCTAGGGAGCCTCACTCACCCTCTTGATGCCATGCCATCCCCAGCCTCCCCACACAGCCCCCATCCCAGATTGGCTTTGACTCCCTGAAACCTTGACAGCTTTCTAGAAGTTTTAACTATTCGATTGAACCTTGTGAAACCGCTGTTTCTGTAGGCTGAAAGTGGTTGAGTAATTGGCATTATCTAGTTACCTCTTGTCTGGTTGGTTCAATTCTTTCAATCTGTAGTACATTTATCTAGTGCTTATTCTGTGCTAGGTGCTGTGCTAAGCGCTTTGTAGTCATTTTTTAACTGTCACAACTTTCTGAGGCATAGGAATTGTTCCCCACTTGACAGAAAACAAAACTATGGCTCAGAATGTCCCTCGTCTTGGAATTGTTTAGGGACGGTTCGCTCTCCGAACTTAAGATCTTAACAAGAACGATAGCAGTCTCAGCTGTAGTTCAAGGAGCTGGTGGCTCTGCCACTTACTAACTGTGCTGCCCTAAGAACGTGTCTTAACTTGGCAAAGCCAGTTTCCACCTCTATGGATGTGAGGTCTCAGTCAGAAGCGTCCATCTTGTCTTCCCGTTGGAAAAATCTCGTCGGTATTCAGCGACTCAGTCTTCTCACCAATACAATGGGAACGACAACCACAGCGCCCAGTAACGTCAAGGATGAGCTGTTAGGACACAGTTCCCGGCCCTGCAGAAGAAAGCCGGGCTTGGGAGGGGGAAGGAGCCCCACCCCCACCCACCACGTGGAGCGCCCGCCCCGCCCGCAGCCAGGCCGCAGGGCGATTCCCCGCAGTGCGGGGCGGGGTTAGCACGGCCTGCTCGGCCAACGC